CTAGCCAAGACTCCTGGAGTCAGCAGGAGTGTACGTACACGCTGAAAAAACAGACTGTGAGGATGCCCTCCGATCAGCGAGGGAGACCGAGAAAAATATCGGTACCTCCACCGTCGGGCCTCTTACTCGACATCCCGGTACATGAAGTACCGGTAGCCGAGCATGAGGACTTTCCACTCATGCAAAACATGCAACTCACTTTAACCGATTTGTTTACTGGACGCGCGACCTTGCTGTGACGCAGTCAGTCTCAGCGATTTTGATGGCTCTGAAAGAAAATCTCAGGCCTCAGAACTCCAGGAAAAAAAACACACTTTCACGCAAAAACCCCGAACCCCGCACGTAGCTACGACAAAGTATCTTGGATGCGGGTTCTATGCTGGTAAATTCTGAATATAACCACTGCACGGTCGACTCAAAACACGAGGAGACCGGACAGAAAACGGCAGCGAGCCCTGGTGCTATCATTACATCTATACATGTACAAACTGTATATTGCTAAATACATTGTAAATAAAAGACGACATGCATGAGGGAAATGAATTACAGTTGTAAAAGGTGCCGCCCTGATGACCAACTGGTTACGTAGTGGCGCCGGGTTTTAATTTCTTTGTTGTGAAAAATACTACACACAAAGGGGAAAACGACACGAGGGTAAAAATGACAAGGAAAACCCTTTTTATCCTTTCCTAAGGATTTTATGCGTCTAATAAAAAATAAAATAAAAAATATCCTACCAGCTACAATGTCGGATGCCGTGCAGCGGCAACAACCCAAGCTATAAACCCGGACAGGAAAAAAAAAAAGCAGGCGATCCAGCAGAGCTCACTAGATTTCATCTCCACTCGAGGCGGAGAAAAAATCAGAGTGATTAACGGCTACCTATGGCACTGCCATGGGGCCTCGGTCATGTGGGTTCGTGACGTAAGGGGTAAAAGAATCTTGAGGTCATGGGGCTTCCCCTGACCTAGATTCTATCTCTCCGTCACCGTCAGAATCGCTGATTAATGCCTACAGTTCAAAATAGTCATTTTGACTGACCGGAGTCTATGGTGGGTAATTGAACGTAGTGAATTTAATATGAACAAATTTTAACCCAAAATTAATCAGGCCTGTCTATTGTTCTAGAGCATTTATGTACCAAATTTTATTCAAATGTAATGATCAGTAATTGAGATTATGTTAATTAGGTAATTAATCAGCATAAATATTTACCAAAAACTAATTGGGTCTCTGCATAGTTCTAGATTCATTGAAATGTGATGATGAGTACTCTAAAAGTTTCATTAAAATCCAATTCGTGGTTCTTTATATATCAGTGGAACATTCATAGAAACAATTAACTAATTATGCAAATTAGGTAATTAATATCCACAATTATTTACCCTAAAACTAATCAGGTCTCTGCATAGTCCTAGAAGATCTATGTGGCAAGTATCATTGAAATATAATGATTAGTACTCGAGATATCAGGCAAAAAGCTAAAAATTAAGTAATTATGCTAATAAGGTAATTAACATATACAAATATTTACCCAAAAACTAATCAGAGGTCTGCACAGTCTTTAAGTAACTATGTACCAAGTTTCATTGAAATGTGATGATTACTACTTGAAATATCAAAAGCTGAAAATTAATTAATTATGCAAGATATAAAGTAATTAATATGTACTGATATTACCCTAAAAACTATCAGATCTGTGCAGTGTCCTATGACATCTATGTACCAAGTTTCATTGAAATGTGATGATTACTACTTGAAATATCAAAAGCTGAAAATTAATTAATTATGCAAATTAAGTAATTAATATGTACTGATATTACCCTAAAAACTATCAGGTCTGTGCAGTGTCCTATGACATCTATGTACCATGTTCCATTGAAATGTGATGATAACTACTTTAAATATCAAAAGCTGAAAATTTATTAATTATGCAAATTAGGTAATTAATATGTACTGATAATACCCTGAAAACTATCAGGTTTGTGCAGTGTCCTATGGTATCTATGTACCAAGTTTTATTGAAATGTGATGATTAGTACTTGAGATATCAGTGGAAAAACCGAAAATTTATTAATCATTATGTAAATTAGGTAATTAATATCGCACAGATTTTTACCCAAAACTAATCAAATCTGTGCACTAGTTTGGAGCATCTATGTGCCAAGTTTCATCAAAATCCAATGAGTGGTTCTTTAGATATCAGTGGTGCAGTCATGGAACAGCTAAAAATCAGCTAATTATCATGCAAATTAGGTAATTAATATGCATGGATTTTTACCAAAACCTTATCAAATCTGCGCATTGGCCCAGAGCATTTATGCACAAAGTTTCATCAAAAGACAATGTATGGTTCTTGAGATATCAATGGAAAAGACACACACACAACACAGACAGACACACTAACTGCAAAAACTCCCTTTTTGTGCTTCGCACAAATACTCAAAAAATACTCATGTTAAATACTCATGTTAAATAATACATGGAACATCTGCAAACATCTGCAAATAGTTGAATTAATATGTACTCTATGTGGGTACAACTCATCATAAAGTAATTTCCCTAAATCTAGTATTGTAGTGATAACTGAAAACTTCCACTGACCCATGTCCAAAATCTCAGAGTACACATGTGCAACCAAACTATGTCTCATACATGTATACATGCTCAAGAAACTGCATTCATAAATCTGAGTAAACCTTGATGAACAACTTGACTTCTTTGTTAATTCAGGTCTTTGTATATTACCAGGACCTGCGTTTGTTTCTGTATCACCACTATAATTCCCATCAAAATGTAGCCCTGACACCACTCTACAGTTTCCACTGAGATTGGTAATGGTACGACCCATTTATTTTATATTTAGACCACATGTGTCAATGTGCCTGGCCAAAATTTGTGACCCGGTATGGCTCTTTATAATGGAATGCAATTTTTACAGTTTGAAGATATATTATACATCAACATTTCTGACCACTTTTTTCAAGATTTCAGCATTAATTTTTTATGAAACAAAACAAAAACCAGACTGTGGTCCATTTCTGTCACTGACTCAGATCAAAGTCATGAAACCACTGAAAACCCTAGCATTACAATCTAAGCTAATTATTTATTCATGCTCAGTTGTTCTCTCAGTGTTGTAGGGAGGTAATTTTGAATGAAAATCATGAAAAAGACCCACTTAGGATTTTCAGATCTGGGAATAAAATTACGTGCATCTTCAACAGAGACTTGTTCATCAACCTGCCAAGTTTCTGTGATATCTGCTGCAGAATTTCTGAGAAAATGTTAGAGATATCACGACTGGAAAACGGAAACAAGAAACTATACTATCCCTTTTCAGGCTGCACCTGGAACGGGGGACTAATTACACGGGGACTAATTACACGGGGACTAATTACACTATTTAAGTAGAAATCCAGATAACAATACACACAATGAATGTGCACTTTATTGGAGGTGTACTTCTAATCTCGGACCACAAAAAAGACAGACTGGCAACACAGCCCTATCCATTCAACCTATGTGTGTGCCTTAAGTTTAATCTCATTGTGAGTACGAACTTTCTGTTAAATTGGTGAAATTAGAGATGAGGTAAATTAGATATGCAATGAAACGTGGAAAATCAGCCTAACACACACAGTTTACAAGAAATTGCATGCAACTGCAAGATTCATGTACAATTAGTACAATCTGCTTTTCTGAAAACTATGTTGCTATGAAAAAAATATTCATCTAAACTAGAGAATCAAAGATATCATCCTGAAATAAAAAAAATCTAAAAAAAATGTAAAAAGTTTACGACAGAATCAGGGGTACCAATGAAAGTGTAGCTTTTTAATGAAAATCACAGCTTTGACACCGTGCAGCATAGCTTGGTCAGGAAAAGCTTAGCTGCAGGAATGAAATCCGCTAGTTTTGACATCGAGAACTCATGCTTTGAACATATTTTGATGTTGAGGGCGTACACAACATGGCTGCCTCCAAGTTATGCTGTGTAATATGCCGCAATCAGTGAAGTTCAGACTCAATATCATTTCTAGAAAGTTTCAGCCACCATTTTACGAAACTTGCAGAGAAATCTGCAAGTTTTTACACAGTGCTCTTTGAAACATTCACATTTTATAAATCGTTCACAGTTAACAGATTGGCAGCTCTATTGTTTCTGTTCCAGTAAAGACAATGAAACCTTACAAAGCCATTTACTTAGGATAGACCTGAATAATGACCCCCTGAAAATTTCATTGAAAACAAATGAACCGTCTAAAAGTTAAATAGTTTTAAAGTTGAAATTTTGAGTAAAAAATGAAACTGAGATAATCTCCATTACGTAAAAAAAAAGTTTAAAAACGAATCATTCGCTTCATATGTGTAACAGAAACTCCTAGAAATACACCATACACCGTAATTTGCTGATGTTAAATCGTCAGGTAAAAAAATAAAATAAAAATATTTACAATTCGAAGGAAACAGACGAAAAATCGTCCGCGAAGTCTCAACCGTGTTATCAATTCCACTGAGGGAGGGACACAATGGATTACGTAAAGCCGATAAGATATTCATACAGATATAAACATAGCGATCGCCATTGGGTGGGTTGAGTCTAAATTTACCTTACCTCAAACCACAGTCACTCTACTAGGAGTAGAGTGACTGTGCTCAAACCTTTAAAAAAATACTTTGTATGACTCAGTTTTCGTGGACCGTGCGAAGTTAGACGACCTGGTTGAAATGGGCCCTAATATTTTACTACACAACGGCTATTCTCAGTTTTTACTACTCAATCACCCAAACGTCGGTGAAACAAATTTGAAATGAAGTCACATTGGAAGGGGAACTATTGTATCGATGCAAATTAAACGAACACTGACCTCTGGAAATACCTCATTCATAGAGTTCCTTAGTACCAGAGGTCGCCGATCACGGCCATACATTGTAGTTTGCGATATCGCTACCGGTGCATGCTAGCTGACAAGGGGGTTTCCGATTAAGGTAACCAAGATGGCATCGCAGAGTGCATGATTTTTCCCGCGGTGTTTAAAAACAGTATCTCATTGCCTGATTTTTCGGTAATTTCCAGGGTATTTTTTTAATTTTTAATTAACCGAGCATTTTATGTTTGTGTATTTTGACACTGAAAAGTTAGTTATCGATGACAGCAACAGCTGTGTTGTTTGTCAATTGCATCGCAACTCTATCAGCACGATAATCGTTACAGCGAAACGAAAAATGTTTACTTCAGTGTTAAAATGCCGTTGGAGTAAAAATGTGTGGAAACATTTTTTTAGTGTCACCCACAATGCGAAAAAGCTTGAAATCTATACACCAAGAAAACAAAAGAAATTGTGGCCTTGTTTTGCGCGAAAATTAAATCGCCCTATCGATGCTACCATCTACATGACAATAAATGAAAAATCAATTTATTTAAGGGTAAAAAAAATTACTTATCAGTTACAAGTGTATGTTTTAATTCATTCCGCTTGCATGCTGGAAGCGTCTACATCTTGTCTGTTTTGTAGTTTGCTAGTTGATCGCGCTTGAGGCAAGTAAACAGAGAGCCAGGACAGGAAGTCCCACACGGCTGCTCCGTAACTGAGGCCAGCAATCATTTGCATATACTGGTAACATCAACAGTGACTTGTCAATCAAAGAGCAACGCAACGCAAACAAACTTTCGAGACTCGGTTCCCTATATTATAAAATTGATTTTTGAGTATGTTCCAACAATGACAATGCTCCAAAATTTTAACACTAATTAGCCAAGACTGTCTGGGTAAGAAAAAGCAAAAAAAAAAAAAAAATTCACTCTGAGTGCCCACGAACCTGCATCTCTACCTTAATGTAGCCAAGGTTTTACTAAACTAAACTAAATTTACAAAAGATGAAATCATTAAAACACTACTGTTGGATTAAAAGAAACATTAAAAAAGAAAATTACATAATGGATCCTTATGATCATCATGGTATCTCCCTTGTCTTTAAAACTAGGTC